AAAAAAAAAAAAAACAAAGCAATCAAACTAAAAAAAAAGCAAAAAAGTGCAAAAAAATGACTAATTTTTGCACTGAATTTTTTGTTATAAACACAGACTATTAAATCGGCTTCTTTTTCCTGGTTGAAATTCATTAGATTTTGTTTTTGTAGTGAATGTTCATTTGAACATTCTTTTTTTTCGTTTTCAGATGAGTTATGAAGTCGGTAGAACAGCTACTGTTGAACAGCTGAATCAGGCAACCAGAAGATATATTGCTGCAGCAATTGACTGGATTGATGCCTTATTTTCTTTCGCCAATTTGATGACAGTCCATGAAAAAGTGAATGCTAGTTTGCTTTACAATGGCTCAATATAAAAACCTGAAAAAGTTTAAATTTTAACTTTTTAACGCATTTTAAAACCTTTTTTGTCAAGAAGATTTAAAGATGCAACTATAGAGTTATTCAAGTAAACAGTGAAATAGTGCAAAGTGGCTTTTCAACTTTTTCTTTTTTTAAGGTTTTGAAAGCTAACTGCACATGTTAATAATACTTATGCCGACGAAGGTCTAGACATTATGACGACTTTAACTGAAACCGCATACTGGTTTTTCTCCAGCACTGTGTAGGGCAATGAAATTTTAAACTTGAAGGTCTAACTGAGCTGTGCTTCATAGCTTACGGTTTCTGGGGGCACCACGTAAATGTGTGGTTGTTCACGTGAAGCCAGCTGTTTACTGTTCCACGTTTTCCTATAGTTCCAGTAGAAGCATTATGAAATAGCGCTTTTCGGAATAACACGTGTTCTTTCTACTTTTGCCAAAACGTTTTTGAGATACAGAAATAGATCTGTAATCATTTTCTTAGCCATGAAAACTGCTGGTTTCTACAGCATCATTGGTGGCGTAGCATAATGAGTATCTTCTCGTAGGTTCCTACATCATATCATTAAAAAAACTGAGGATCTCAAATTAATCTGTAATGGAATCTGTCAGTCAAATGTAACGATCTGAAAAAATACGGACGATAAACAATATATCACTCAGAGGAAAAGGTGCACTGAACATTGTCAGTGTGCATGAAGTTTAGATAAGCTCTTCTAAGAAAATAGCGGCTTAAGTTTCCATACAAACTAAAATATTTTTTATGAAGTTTGTATTAGTAAAAGTAGTCAATTAAAATTTTATTCTTCATAACTGCTTTTGAGTATATTTGCATTACTAAAGATTCTGTAGGTCTGCGTCTTGAAAAGCGTCTTTGCTGCGTTTTGTACCTTCAGTGAAGCAGCTCGTACTGCTCAGAATACTACAGACCGGGACATTCTTTGCCTATGCAACGGAACAGTTATTCCTCGCCAGACACCTCGACACCTTGTCGAAACAAAGTACATTTATTGTTTTAAGACTAATTCATGCTACCGTTTTATTCTACTTAGTCAGTCTTATTTTACAATCACGTATGCAATAAAAACGGTCACTGTTTTTTGAAGCCCAGTAATATTTAAAAACATATTACAGTTTTTTATCAAACAACATGTTAACGCGTTTACTAGATGAATTAGCCGCACCAATTCGGAAACTTTGCCTTCGTGAAGCTGAAATAGTCGCACTCACAGCACTAATAATGCTTGACGCAGGTAATAGTTCTCTCTTCTGGGCAACTGAAAGTACCAAAAATATCTATGATTAACTCAACGGTCTTAATCACCTTGGTGATTTTCAAATAAAACTTTATTTCCAGACGCCACTGGGCTCAGCTGTACCACCTCACAATGTTTAGCGACATTAAGAAATAAAGTACAACATGCCTTATTCCAAATGATTCGTGACCAGTTGCCAAGTGATCAACCAATATCATCAGCAACCTCACGTTTCGGGAATATTCTAATGATACTACCACCGCTTGCTGTAACTTTTCATATGATTGTTTCTTGCCAACAAATATCAATCTAAACAAAAAAGTCATTACTTCCAGTTCTAATTGGCAAATCTGTTCTGTGTTTTAAATAGTGGAAAAAGCTTCTAGTTCTTCTAAGCTACTGCACTGCCTTCGCAAAACACCAAAGCGAAGCTTGTAATATAAGTATCGGTACAAAAATTATTGCCTTCTTTGGGGGACACATACCACAAATCCGTGCTGTAAGAATAGCGACAAAATTAATATTTAGATATTTATTGGATTGACCAAATACATTTTTGTTTTATTTTCTGCATTTAAGGTAAACTGTAGCATAAGTTGAACAATTTTTTGCAGAAAGTGTCTTCACTGATGGGAGAAAATATTCAATTTGCAAAAATGTTTGGAAGTCAAGCGATTGACCCATTGCTGATTGAAATCTTCATTGATTCACCGATTGAAACAATCCCATCAACGAATCCAAAAACTCGAGTAGATGTATCAACACAGACGTTTTTGCCGATACCAAATTCGCCACTAACGCCACCACCAACTGTTTTACCGTGTACCAGCGTACCAACGACACCGCAACTTCCAGACGCAACAAAAGTATCCTCAATATCATCGGTTCTTGGAAATTCGGCTACAAACAATTCGTACAGTTTCTACTTTCCATACTCAGCACGTCTTCCTAGCAGTATTAATTATAGTAACCAGTCGGCTGGTCCGTATCCATCTCAGACAGATTTTTTTGACGGTAATTCGCAGACAACAACAAGTGCTGAAATAATGAACAATTTCAGATTCTTATAGGGAAACTTTTTTATAAATGCATTCTGTTACTGTGTTAATGTCTTTTCTTTTTTGCTTAACTGATTAGTTTCAAATATTGATTCTCTTTTACTCATTATCTATTCGTCCTTCATTTTTTTTTTTACCATTTCTCCTTCTCCTTTTTTTCTTCGTATTTAAAGCATTCAATCAGAAAACGCTAAAAAGTTTAATACCTCATCATAGTTTAAAACAAATCCAGTAGACTAGTCTAACCTACGTAAACTCAGGTAACTCTTTAATGTAATACCCATCTTAAATTAGTTTATACAGTAACTTTCCTTTTTAAAGGTTTGCTTTTTTTTACTTCTCCTACTTCTGAAGGAGCTGTTAGACAATTGACCCACAGATGCAGTACAACACTTAAGGAAAGTATAACTTTTATTGTCTGATCGAATAGACAAAAAAAAAAATGATCAAAGCAAACGACGAAAAAGTATAACAAATCTTTTTTTTTTACTGTACATATTTATGAGCAAAATTAATTTAAGAGGTATTATCTGTTTATTGACTGTTTATTGACTGCATTCCGAAATAACAATAATAACAACAAAAGTAAAAAAAATAAGATATAAAACATGTAAAA